AAAAATATAAGTTTAAAAATAAAAAAATATAACTTAACAATTAAATCAACTATTAAATTGCAATCATTATTCTAGCATCATCATTAGGACTAAAAAACAGACATATAGTCTCTCTCTCTCTCTCTCTCTCATTGTTATATCATTTTAATAGTTATATTAAAATATTTCATTTGCATTTCATTCATATGAATAGATGTGTTGAATAAATATCTACTGTACTTTATATGAGTGCTTATATGAATGTAATAATTGTAATATTAATATCTATTGTATTTGGTGTATGTATAGGAACACGAGTATCTGTGTTGGCCGCGGATTGTAGGCCACGAATGGGCGATCAATCACTGCTGCATTTGCGGGACTGACACTCACGCCACTCATATCAATAACGATAATCAAAGACGTCTGTTAGTCAACATTCACTTAGAAGTAAATATTGTTATCAATGCATGTATTTATATATATATAGTACCCTAATATCCCATAGACAACGCGCACCCCGTGTATAACGCGCAGCAAGAAATTTACCAGTATTTTTGAATAAAAAATCATTTATAGATAACGCGCACCCCGTGTATAACGCGCATATCCTCTACTGTATATTTCAAACTTATTAGTGTTGATTTATTACTGTTAGTGATTTATTAGTGTTAAAATAGACACTTGTTTTTAAAATATAATTCAAAACAAAATATTTTAATTAAATTGTTGTGATTAAATAAATCATGCAATTATGCTTAAACAAAGGAAATCATATACTAATTAAGGACGGCGCGCAATCTTTTGCCAAAACATTCACTAAATTGCCTGTCATACCCGTATTAACTAGAGTATTAACTAAAAAATTACAGCCATTGGATCTAAGTGTCAACAAATCTTTTAAATCAAAACTTAGAAACAAATGGGAAGAATGGATGTCAAATGATTTGCATTCATTTACTAAATTAGATATGTGTTTGAAATAGATTCAGGTTCTGATTTTGATAGATTTGATTAACTTTATACTTATTATAATTATGTTTATTAATAAACTAAAATATTTGAACAATATTTTTTGTTATTTTTTCAACTATATATAACGCGCACCCCGTAGATAACGCGCACCACTAATTTTGGCAATAATTTCACTTTTTTCAATAGATAACGCGCGCGTTGTCTATGGGATATTAGGGTATATTTGATATGTTTATTATCCATTCAAAACTTATCACCACTTTTCTAGTCTTGTTCTGCCATTAAGTGTGCGGTTTTGTGAGCCGAGGGAAACAACTTCTCTGACACTAACTTTTTATATTATTTATACGTATTTTTGTTTATCATTGCTTTCATTTCTCCGTTTATGTGTTTAAACCATGTTTTCTCTCCCAATATATTTGTATTGTAGTTATTCTTAATATTAACCTTATTTACGATTATTTTATTGCAAATGATATTTGATTTTTGTATTTATAACCAAAAAACATGCGATGAATACTTGTTTACAGCCTTAACGTTATGACAGACTAAATTCAAATTGTATTTTATTTAATTTGATTTGTTTTTATAAAATATTAGTTTAGATTTTTACATAAAATATTTATAATTTCTAATTCAAGCCATAAATATCCAGAAAAGAGTGTTTAAAAAATAATGATCTCATCATTTTTGCCCATTTTATGACACATTATTGCAATATTTTTATAATTTGACAAAACAATTGTATTTTTATACACATTTCGCGCAAAACAAAACCATTTATCAAAAGTTTGTGTCAAATATGTGCTAAACCTATGAGAGATTATTGTAGTTTTCAAACAGTTTTATTTTAAATATATTTTTTATTGTATTCACATATTAAACAATGTTTTTGTCGGCTTTTAGTCCTCGTATTATATATTAAGAGTTATGGAAAGAGTGCTCACAATTGTTACCCATCAATACAATACTGAATTAATTATTTAAATTTGGGAACTTTATATTATTGCAAAAAACTATTGTTTTTTGTTGTTTTGAGTAATAAATGCAAATCTTATTCAATTGTTATATTAATGAATGCATACATTGTATGTGTTTTTCTCTCATAGAGTAACGCATCGCGAATAGAGTCGTTGCGATTGAGTGACAATTATTCGCCGGTCTTTCGAGTGATACTTCCCGTGAAATTCGACAATCAATTGGCGGCCGAGACGTGTCATCCGGTGCTCACATTGCAGGCCAGCATCGAAGCCAATAAGCGATCGCTTCAGCAAAGAGTGCAACGATTTCTGAGCGAAGAACAAAAGCTAATGGAGGAGCGGATCCGTACGTTCACAGAACAGGAACACAACCGCTTCGCCGAAATGCAGCTCACGATCGGTCGCAATGAGGAGACACTCTATAACATACTCGAAGACATTCACCACAAGATCGGTGGCGACCAGAGTCTGGATCAGAGTTTGGCGTTTGCCGCCCAACAGTTGAATATCGACGCAAATGGTATTTATTTTGTTATTAGTTTTGCGGTGTTTTTCTCAGTTTGTTTTCCTAAAATCCTGTGCTATCGATGCACTCTTCCTTCCCATCGGTTTTGTGTTTTTCCAACTCATCATTAAATGACATAATTTTCATAATATATTAATTTATTTTTGTTTTATTTTTTACTTTTTCTCTTCCTTTTAAAATATTTATTTTATTAAAACCTTTCCTAAAATGATATGTTTTTGCAAACATTTTGCGGTTTAATATTGTTTTTGAAGGGGTTTTCCAAACATTTTGTCTGATTATCTGATTTGTATGTTAATAGCAGTCGATGAAGATCTGGGTCTCGACTCGTATCTCAATATAAAGTCGACGCAAAGCATAGCAAAGGCGAAGCCATTGGACAATAACAAGCAAAAGAAGTCACAACCCCTGCGCTATAGATCTCAATCCGTTGACTACGAATCCGTGGGCGGAATCTTCGACATCGATGTCGATGTGGACGACGGAAACGCTTTCGATTCGATCTCATATTCGGACGAAGAAGAGGACGATTCGATCGCTTTTCGCAATTCAAACAATGAATACAATTATAATAACGGAAGGGCTGTCCCTAACGCACAAATGAACGCACAAAACAATGGACTTATGGCCTATTCGTTGCCCATTCAGGTCCAGATCCCGAAGTGGAAGACTTTCCACAATTACAGACACGACATCGACGAAGAAGACGTGAGTCAAACCACTCTCACATTTCCCTCACAATTATTTGCATTTAATTATTGAAATGCAATGTCTTTTGTTCAGTCATTTTAGACGTTTTGTTCTGAGATGTAATTTCAGTGTAATTTAAGATTATTTTGTAATTATTTTATAAGATTTTGAGTTAATTTAAGTTTTTATAAAATGAAAAATTGTGTCTAAATTTTATAAAACTGAAAAATTATACTTTGATAGACTTTGATATCATATGAGTTCGTATTACTATTTTTGACAACACAATGATGTGTTATATTTCTTGGTCTCTAATGACCGGCTCTCTCTCCCGCTGTATAGAGGAGTGCCCCAAAAGGTATGCACAAACGGGTGTGCATTACAGGCAATCTCTAGAACCCATTTGTAGATTACATTGTATTGATTAGCTCTGTATATAATATGGTGTGGTTTTGGNCCACAAAAGAATTGAAGAATAGGTGCACAGAATCGACACAACCCTAAGCCAGGGGTAGAGCTGTAGTTAACGATGCGATTTACAAATGCATTTCGAGAAGGAAAACCAAATATTATATAATATTTTTTATTAGACATTTATTCATACGTTTGGAAATAAGAAATTTAATTCGTTTAACACAATAATTATACACTAATATTGCGTAATAGAGAGAGAGAGAGAGAGACTATATGTCTGTTTTTTAGTCCTAATGATGATGCTAGAATAATGATTGCAATTTAATAGTTGATTTAATTGTTAAGTTATATTTTTTTATTTTTAAACTTATATTTTTTAAATCCGTGCAAATGCTGTAGTATTTCAATGCATTTCATTTATAAGTGAAATTAATAATTGATTAAAAGCTATAATTCTTGGTTAAGTCTCTTTTAAAAAGTGATCACTTTTTTTTAATGAGTTATTAGTTTTGTAAGATTTCTTGACAGAATTTTTTTGGAACTTTATTTTTAGAGGAAAACTAATACCAGAATCCAAACAAAAAATGTTTTGTTAAGCATTACAGTATATAAGCCATAGAAATGTTGTGACATTTTTTATCACACTTTTGCCATAAAATTTTATTTGTATTTCATTTTGCATTTCATAACCTTATTCTTTGAATAAATAATTATATATCAAATGGT